AAGGTGGCCGGAAATTTTCACCTTGCACCTGGTAAAAGCTATCAACAAAACAATTACCACATTCATGACATACAATCTTTCATCAACGATGGAGTCAAACACGATTTCACACATGTGATCCACCATCTGAGTTTCGGACCTAAAGTGGAGGGGGTAGTGAATCCCTTGGATGGCATTTCCAGAGCGGTTTCCAGTGGTATGTTTGACAACTCCTGATACTTCGCCGAACCTACCCGGCCTGGTACTTATGATTATTAACCGACTGCCGATTATCATATATTGGACGCCATTTATTTAGGTCTTTATATGTTCACATACTATGTTAAAGTAGTATCTACGCATTTCCATTTTTTAAACGGAACCAGCATTTACACCAACCAATATTCCGTGACACAATTTGAGCGGGACCTGACCGGGAAGAGTCATGATGGTCATTCGCACAGCCATGTCGGTCTACCAGGTAGATTTTTTTTTTCCCTCTACTGATATTTTCTCTTCTGAAAAATGTATCGTCATTTATTCCTTGTGATCATAGGAATATTCTTCAATTACGAGATTTCTCCAATGTTGATTATAAATCGCGAGGAACGTAAGAGTCTTACGCATTTCTTGACCGGTGTTTGTGCTATTGTCGGTGGTATATTCACTGTTGCAGGCATATTAGATGGATTTATTTACAACGCCGAAAAAACTTTCAAGAAAAAAGTGGAGTTGGGTAAACATCTGTAAGACCATGATACATGCATCTTAATTAAAATTTCAAACACTAGAAATGTATAGAAAATTATTGGTTAATTTATGAAAAACTGTTTTAATACTAACACACTTATTATTATCATTATTCACTAGCATCTGATACTTAGGTAAAAAAAAAAAAAAAGAAAAAGAAAAAACAATAAAAATAAAAATATTCACTATATAATTCTTAATCTCTTAAGCTCAGCTTTTTTTCGATGGTTCGAATTAGAGAGAAAAAAAAAGAAAAAGGATAACAATTAGGATTTCCTCGCTCTTTTTTCTTTGAAGAGAACGAGTAATCATTACTATAAGGAACTCGGAATTCAACATATATATACTGTATACATATGTGTGCGTAAACTTAAAAAAAAAAACTTAAACGGAAGATATTGAATGAGATAATACGTTTAGACATAACCATTTTTACATAATAATAGTTCGAAAATGTTCATCCGTACTCACTACAAACCCCAACTATGCCTGACGATCACACCTGCTGAGACGTTTCGAGCTGACTGTTAGCATGGCAAACTGAACCCACGACTGAATCATGGCAAAAACACTAGGGAGTTCCTACCATATCCACTAACGCGACTTCCATTAACAGGCGTAGAGGATTTTGTTTGTAAACCTCTTCATCTATCCCCAACCTTTCCTCAATCTCGCTGTGCGAAGATGATAGTTCAACAGGTGGCTGTTTCCGCTGACCAATGCTCACCGCAACGTCGTTCTTTTGTGAATCGGCTGCCGTTTCATTCTGCTGTACGTCTTTATCATCTTTCTCGATCTGAGTCGCAAGTAGAAGACCATCAAACAAATTCTTCCGTTGAGACTCGCCAGAAGCAGCAACATTACAAGAGAATTCTTCCTGTTCCTTCTCGCTTTGGCATGTCTTCTTGGTAGAAGTCGACTCTGCGAATTCCATAGATTCATTTGTCCTTTTGACACCACGCGATTCTTCTTTAGTTTCTTCGCCATTATTTGAACTAATGTCTGACGATAGATCTTTAACATCCAATTTTTCTCCTTCATGAAGGCCGTCAAGATCGTCCGAAGACTTTTGCATGACCTCTTCCTCTGAAGGATTGTCAGAATTCTCGATCGACCGCTTTTCGTCTTCGATCTCTTTCTCTTCTTGTAATGCTCTAAGCATCTGTCCAAAATAATCAAGCTTAACGCCATTTTTGGGTAATTTGTGTAATGCATCATTCAGGTAAAATTCCGGATCACAATCAATCTGGAATTTTTTTTGTGATGGATTCTCGATAACTGTGTTATCGATGGAGGATAAATTGTTTTCAGAGGCCAATCTCCGTAATGGAGGCTGTGAGGATAGGGCAGAGGCTCGATAAGTTATTATCATGTGAGGTTAATACAAGGAATGTGCATCAAGTCTAATCACCAGTGCATGATCTACATGACAAGGACACATCCATCTTTTGTTAGCCGGTGCCGGAATTACGAGAGGTGGATCCAAACAATCGAAATGCCAATGAAGATCACAATAGTCACAAGACATGGCAGGTTTCGTCTTGCTTGGTGGAAGCTTGCACGAATAACAACGAACGAGCTTCCCATTTTCATCTAGAATACGGGTATGATCGGGTTCCAGCAGGAATCCATTTCGACTTTAAAGACGGAGGAACGAACCATTCATTCATTGATCAATTTGATGGCAAAGAAGGTTAACGATGCAAAATTTGAACGAAAACAAAAGAAATCGGAATTGAAGTATCGCTTACTCTCTTTGCTCGGGCTTTACTTTGTTCAAATCGATGTATTCTCCATGAGATCCAGTGCCGACTATTTCACGAATAGAAAAGAAAAATGTTATCAAATGCTTCTCAAATTTCAGAGATCAATTGAGTTCCAGACAAACCGTCTTCAAATGCATAACGGATGTGATCCGGTAGTAAAAAAGATTTGGGATTTGAGCAACGTGCTTTATATATTAGCTCTTGGAAAGGTCCTTGTGCAGGCGTTGATGGTGATGTCTAGGTGCAAGAGAGACGCGAAAAAACACGACAGGTGAATGAATCATCGTCAAAATCATCGCGATGAGCAATTCGAATGAGAAATGTGTTACTGGTTTTTTACAAACCTTTTCGGAACTGCATTCTCGACAATACCAATTTCCTTTTGGAGGATTGTCAACGTCGAGAGGAGGCACCAGACACGTAAAGTGAAATGCCTTCGGGCACGAGTCACAACACATCAAACGTCCTCCGTAACCGCACGCATCACATTGATCGTGATTATTCTGAGTGTGTCGATTTGCGAATCTGTTTAGTAACGCATGGAAGATATCTTACTCCGTTAAGAACCTTACCTGTGTAGCATTTGCACCAACTGCTGCCAATGCGCCTCTAGTGTGAATGACATGCCTCGGTGTCGGTGAACCTGAGGGAGAATTTGTCGGAGGTAATACGCTGCTGAAGTTCAAAATAACGAGTTAGATAACGACAACCCGGAGGGAAATTTAATTGGCGTGACATTTCTCACCCCATTTATTAAGGTTTTGTTTGTTTTGTTTTGTTTTGTTTTTTTTCTTAAAACTCTATTTTTTATGGTTCGCGTTTAACAAAATTCGAAATTTTATTTATTTATTTATTTGTCAAAAAGATAAAAATTTTTAATATGCCAACACTTGGAAAAAAAAGTTCCAATTACATTTAATTGTGACGTCACGACACAACCTTCTATTTTCTAACCGTGAATTCGGAAACCGTTTTGCCAACGGAACCTCCGGAAAAGCATCCTAAGCTTATTAAATTGCGCGTGCATGTACATACTGTATGTATTAAACTACCTAATTGGTTTCATAAAAAAGAAAACCGAAGGCACTAAAAATGTTTTTCTATTAATACAATCAAAAGAATTTTTTTTATCTTATAAATAATTGAAAATAAAATTTATAAGAGATAAATATACAATTGCTGCAAATTTTCATTCCCTCGTTTTGTAATATTAAAAAAGAAGAAAAAAAATAACAATAATGGAAATTGTTCGAGAGAACCGTGATAGCAAAGTAATTCACCATCGCCCTCATTTCACAATAATTTTTGAAAGTGCCGAATATTTTTTTTGTCTCATTATAACCGATGTCCCGGCACCACCGAAAATATCACAGTGATAATGATCGAGACCACCAAACTCACCAGAAAAACTTTTGATCCCCTTTTTCTATGTAATTTATATATATATGGTTCGCGTACTTTTTGGAACTTAAGGAATGTGATTTCACTAGGTGTTAAGTGAAAAGCGAGTTGTTGAGTAAATTATCTGCTTTGGTAAAATCAAAGGAAGAAAAAAAAAAAAAAACTTCTAACTTTTCTGGTACCTTATTCCCAGAGCAACTAAGAGAGGACTGATCTCTGTTTGATTGGCAAATAAGTTTACGACTCCCAGAAAAATAGGAATGAAGCTCTGCATAGATATAATTAATTGAATGTCAATTGGAAGACAATAAAATTCCGACTTTAAAAAAAAAAAAAACGAAGGAAAATACACACCCATATTCTTTTAGATTTAGGTTTTGAATCCAAGAAAATCAAACTCAGCGCAACCGCAAAGCCAATGAACAAAAAGAACAACCCGGCAGCTAATCTCATCATGATCTGTAGACCACTCATATTACCGAACGCTCTTGATTTTAAGAATCCTGGAAAATATTCATTCTCAATGAGTGAAAATATTTCTTTTTTTGCCTCATGATAAATCCAAGGATCGTCTCTTTTATATGGTGTGTCACTTTCTTCCTCAATGGCATGGGCAATCTTTTCACGAATGTGATCCGACAAGTAGATCTCTTTCTCGGAACCTCGGAAAATGTATTTAAAATAAATTCGCTCTGCCGATTCTCGAAGATCATCCCTAGTAAAAGGGCGTTCCCGATCATAAAAGGAAAGATTGCCGGCAGTGTTGTTTGTTTTGCTCGATCGAACGGAATCTCGGTTCCCCGGACCCCGTGGCCCTTTACTCCCTGCTGAAATGTCAATTACGTGTTGTGGATTTGAAGCGAATGGTGACACCGGCCGCGAAGAAGGTTCGTAAATCCCGCTACCCGTAACACTCGTGCTATTAGATCCACGTGAGGAGTTACTCAACTGTCTACGAACACCATCGTTGCTCGCCGTTATGCTTTGTCTGCTTGGGTCATATTTTTCAGGTTTTAGTCCTCCAGGTCGAAACCTTTCGTATTCTGGGTATTCGATATTTACATCTAGCCCTTGTTTCTTCAGGTCTTTCACGTACGCTTTACATATAACTTCGTGTTCCAGGACATCGAGATAAAAGTCCAAATAATCGGAGGCAAACGCACTATCCCTCATGTAAAGATAGAAGTTGTATAGGCATACTGGAGGTGCCGTTTTACGGCTAAGAACCTCTTGTAATGTAGGAAGTCTGTTTCGATTGTAAGTTGGGTAGGTCGCTTTAGCGAGACGTTGACCCTTCTCGGTACCCGTAATTGAGTATTCTTGGCTAGCCATACTCGTCCTCGAAAAAAAAAAAAAAACGTTCGCTGTAGGTCTAACAGAAACACGGTCACAATGGGCGGACAAAAAATTAGGTCGGGAATGATCGACGGGATTTTCTTTGGTCAAACATGTTATAGAATATGCAATAACTAACTTTACCCTTTTATAGAACGACAATCGCCTTCAACTGACTTCTATAATGGTGAGCATTACTTGAAACGAAACCACATGAATAGTAGTATAGAACAAATAAGCCCTTTTGCAAGCGTGTGGTACATTCTCTCTTAGTAGAAACCTCTTCAAATACATGGCTTCGGTGAAATTATTTTTTATTTTGCTACATATTTTTCTTTCTAAACACCAATTACATGAAAAGAGCTAATTGTATTGTTAATTGTTAAATAAGAAAAGGGTTTGGGTTGCATTAATTAATATCGTTTAACTGAGTCATCGCGAATTCGCTAGACAACCTGGATTCTCGGCAAACTGTCCCGGACCACTTCGATTTAGCGAGGTGACAATGTATCAATCTGTATTTAATTTATTTATAATTTTATAATACATGAATTACTATTCTTAGATTAGAAAAGAAAGCGAAAGCAATATACTATATTTTAAACCATTTATTTGAATAGATTATAATTAATTTAGGTAAAAATCCTTTCAATAAAATACAGTTAATAGTTTATTATTACTAAATCTTTTTTTATAACCCTTTGTTAGATTATTTATATGTGCTTTATTTTTATTTTTATTTTTTTTTATAACTCTATCAATTTAGTTATATATGTTTTATTAAACTTTTGTAAACTATATCTATAATAATATACAGTAATATATATTGTTAAAACTAAGTTTTTAACTTACCAGTCTTAGTAATAGTAACTCTAAAAAAAATCCTTTCAACAATATTATTATTTGTAGATCATTACTATAAATTACTGCTAAGTTTTGATAGAGATCAAAATTTAAATTTTTAAATATTGGCTCATCTTGCATTACTCTGAATCACTTTATTAAAAAAAGATCATATTTAGGAACAATTGGAATAAATATCTTTCCATACTATCTGAGAATTTACTGATCATTAAAGAAGAAATAATATAAAGGACTATCTATTTATAAAACTTGATCTAAGTCTAATCTAATTAAAATAAGAAAAATATATAATCATCTAGTATAAATAATTTCTTCTAACAATAAAGAGTTGATTGATTAAATACACTTGATAATGTATTACTGAATTCTTTCTACCATTGATTTAATACTATCTAGGATTTTTATTCATTAATTAACTTGTTATCATCTATTAAAGAATTTAATTTGTCAAAACTTGCTTAAGATATTCAATACTATTTGATACCAAAGGCCACTTGTACTAGTCGAGAACTAGTTAGTGTGAAAAAAAAGAAATAAAGAAAAAAAAATGAAAAAATGAAAAAAAAAAGTTGAAAATATTTATAAAAAAAGAAAATGTGGAACAAGAAGAGACATCTAATAACAACTTTTTTATATAATTTGTTTTTAGAGAAATACTTATTTCATAGCTATGACATTTTCAGGAGTAATAAAAAAAAGGAGGTCATAGTTCATGTGATATTTATCCATTCATATAATTGACCAATAACTTATTATGAATCTAAGGTTCTTATGGATCTTAAAAAATACATTCACATTCTATATCACATATATTTTTATTTATATTTCTGCTAATTATGAAATAACCAATTTCAATCTTCAGCTAATCAATTTATCTAAAATTTGGTATAACAAAAAATTCAAGATCAAGTTAATATAAGCAAAATTTTCCAAAATATTAAGAAAAACTATTGCATATTGAGAGAGAAACTATTTTATTTGTAATTTTGATATTGATTTTCTAGACTGATATGAAGTTATTGGTTTATACTTCTTTCTAGACTTTGAAACCTTTATAGAGAAGGGGATGAGGATATTTTTTTATCTGATTTCTTCTTTCTAGAAAAGCTTTCTTGTTATTAATTTCTTAAATAAGAATTTTTTAAGAGGAGAAGTAACAAAAAGTGTAAAGTATAACTATTACTAAATGAAATTGATATTTTTAGAGAGAGTTTTGAAGTTTTATTGCTATCAAAATATAAAGTTTTAAAGAAACATTTTTTTAGAAGTGATGGTCAGGGATCTATAAAAAAAAGTTTGATGTTTTCTGATTTAATTATTTTATGATATATGAAATTTTATTTATTCAAGTTTTTTTTTTAGTATTTTACATAAATCTGATTTAAATAAATTTTTTTAACTCTTTTTTAAACTCTTCATTAAATTAGTTATATATGTTTTATTAAATAATTTGTAAACTATATATATATTATATATTACTAAAATTAAAACTTTAACTAATTCACATGTCTTACTGTAGTTAACTTAACTTTAAATATAACTTCAAAAATAATTTATCACTTTATTAATAATTTAGATAAAAATCTTTCTAACTATTAACTTTATTATCTACAAGTTACTATTACAAATCATTTAATTTTTTTTTTTTTTTTTTAACTAGTCCAATTGATAGGACAAATCTTTATTGAGGAATCAATAATACATTTTTGGATTACATGAGCAATTCGTATAACCTTATTTTAACTACCTTTCCTAATCAAGTCCATCAATTTTATCATATAGTGATACCATTTTTGTCAGTTGCTCTGCTCTGCCTAGGACTATAATATTCCAAAAGGCCACTATAGACTTCTTATTGTTAATCTTCAAGAGGCTATGTTGTGTGTTCCTTAGTAGGGTCTTGTTTATTACTTGATGCTTGTGGGTACTATAAACAATCCATACTGTGTTTGGGTCCTCTGCAGGCTAGTCAAAACTTAAATAGCGCAAATCTCCAATCATGTTCTTGATATCCAGGTGATTCAATAGTATTACATAATTGGGTAGCATAGAGCTTTCCATTGCCTCATTTTTAACCATTCTTGAAAGTTGACCTTACAAGAATTTCTCTTGATTACTTTATAATGGATTGCTTCTTCCATTGGATTGGTTATCTTAATGATTGTTTCTGAATTTCTTCTTTCAGGATCTGCCTCTATACTGTAGGTTGTTCAACATGGCATTAATGCTAATCACCAGCCTCCACAATAGCTATTCTCTTTAATAGCCATTGGTTTTGTGATTATAGAGATCTTTCATTAATTATTATTATAGTCCATTACATTTCGACAGGTACAAATGACTGAAGTCTTTCTTATCTCCCATAGGATATAGTTTTGACAAGAGGTAGATGTCCTTCCCATTTCCATTAAAAGGCTTGAACTTGATCGACATTTTTTCCTGACTTGTCTTGAATCCTTACATATTCCAGGTGGCAGGTTTATCGAAGATTTCTTTAGTACCAAAACTGGCCAAGACTTGAATGATCTGAGTTTTATATCATGGTTGGATGATAGAAATCTATAGGTTATTTGTGAGTACAAGGGTACATGTGATAATGAGCATGCATCTTGTATAATGTAACCTATATTATGAAAACTGTTCCTAGGTGGGATTAAATCAGTAACTCGTAGATGGTGACCTGGGAGTGCACCCACTGCATTATTGATCCACAGGTCCACAAATCACTTAATAAGTTTTAATAGTAATCAAAATTCAATTATTTTATTTTATATTTTACTCTTTTTATTAAGATCTTTTTTAAATTTTTATTTTTTAATTTTTTCTTTTCTTATTCTATTACTTTAATTTCCATAACTTTAATTTTTTT